CATTCCCCTCGAGAGGGATCCAGAAGGCAGAGGCCAGGCCAGGTGAGTCCACCTGAGCGGAACAGCTGTGGCTGGGGCTCGGTTTGCACCACTCCCAGAGACGGCCCAGAAGGTGAGGGCCTCTTGATACTACACAGAAACCACCAAAGCAATTATCTGGTAAGAACAACTGCCTTCACATACTGCCGCAGCGGTACAGGTAGTCCTCGACTTACGACCACAATTGGGCCAGCAATTCCATCACTAAGGAATGCAGTTAGGGTTAGGGTTAGGGTTAGGTTAGGTTGTGATGATTCTGGGCTCACACTGCGCTTCCATTCCCCTCAAGGGATCCAGGAGGCAGAGGCCAGGGTTAGGGTTAGGTTAGGTTGAAGGCCTTTTATGATTCTTTAGCTGCTACGTATTTTATTTTCTTTTTGTTTTAAGTTTATTTTAGTAATTGTATATATTTTATTTATTTTAAAATTGTACACCACCCAAAGTCACATATATGAGATAGGTGGCCATATAAATCAAATAAATAAATAAATAAAATTACACTAGATCAATTATTGTTTAATGATTACTTGATATCTTTTCAGCAACTACAAACATACTTTTTTTTACCATCAACACAAAAATGTCCTGTGATTTAAAACTGAAATTAATCCATCGAAAAGTTGTTTTTCAGATCTATTGGACACCATCTAGAATGTTTAATAAAGGATGGACTATTTACTATTTGTGTTGGAACTGCAAGAAGTTTGAGGGTACTTTAACTCATATGTTATGGTCATGTTCTTCCTTACATCCTTTTTGGAGTAATGTTATACAATACATTAACAGAATTATTGAGAAAACTCTGGTTTTTAAAAATATGCATATTGTATTGAATTATATACTGACTACGTGGCATTTAACATGTTCAGAACAAAGATAGGGTTTTTTTGTGCTCTAACGATAACAGAAACAATAATCCTTAGGACATGGAAAATACTATAGAGGGTTAGATTTCAGAGATGTGTGAGGTAGGAGTTTTTGAGAAAATTACATATTCGGTTATTCAAAAATGTCACATTATTTTTCCCTTTGGGAAAAAAAATTTGAACAGGCTTGGTCGATATTAAAAGCTTAGTTTTTCTTTTTAAAGGTTTGCAAAATCAGGTGAACGTGGGATATAGTTGTAATCACAGTTTTTGCTTGTTTGTGCACTCCGTTTATGTATTTTCTTGTTTGAAATTTTCTTTCTTTCGTTTTTGTGTATGGTAAATGGTTTATTTTTATTTTATATTATTTTATGCAGGTCTGCTTGAAAATGAATCAATAAACGTAACAGAAAAGGAAAAGGACAAAAAGTGGCGAGGCGAGGGCTGGTGGCGGGCTACACGGGCCAGTCCAGAGGAGGCTCCCTGGCCGGCCCTGGGCCACCCCGCGGATGGCGCGCCGCAGTCAACCCTGGAGGGGGCTGGCGAAGTACCGCAGGGGGAGGGAGGGAGCCTGTCGCGGTCGGGCCGTGGCCTGAGGCGTCGGGAGCTGCTCCTCCGAGGGCCCAGCGGTCCGGAGAGGGGAGCGCCAAGCGCTTGGGCAGGGCGCCCTGGGTCCCCGCCCCCTCCTCACCTTTAGCTCTTGCCAATCGTCCTAGCACCATACAGGCTTCCTTAGGAGCAGAGTCGGTGACAGTGACAGGTCGCAGACTTTGAGAGCTTTGCATTTATTTTGTGGTGGTGGGGAAATTCCTGGCCACATTCATCAGCCTTGCCACCGTCAGTAAATGTAAAAAGCTCCAACACTTTTCCAAGCAAAAATAAACTACTGGTATTTTTGGAATGCTTATCTCTGGGGAAAATATTTGGACAGCTGGAGCACACCCAGCTCTCTGACTTGTCTCCACTTTGCACTCTCTGTTTTCCCCTGCTCTGACCTGAAATGTTACTGAGCCAGTTGCTTTCAAGCGGCTTTTCACATAAAACTGTTAACTGTTAATTATAATGCTGCTTAATGCAAATTTGAAATCATCTATTGTATTATCTTGCTTTAACTGCCATTATGAACATACCTAATACAAGAAGAACTAAGACAGCTCTTCAATAAACCAACTTGTAATTAATTACAAAATGCTCCAAATAAAAGCCTCTCTGTGCTCTTAAGCCATCACTTTCCTTGCTTTAAGTTTTGAAAATTAAATCCTATTTCTTCTAGCTTTGCAGTATTTCCTGCTCTAGTGATGTCCACTTAGTCCACTAAGACTCTCTTGCCCCATTGTTAAACACGTGTCTGTTTTTATTGATTTTAACTTCGAGAAGCCACATTCCCTACTAGAAATTGACACTGGGCAGTTAACAAATCCATAGACATATTAAAAGATGAGCTTATCTTCACAAACAAACGTCATTACTTCAGGAATAGAAAGTTTCTTAAATTGTCTTGAAAAATCAAGCCCACTACATAAATCCGTAGTGCCAATATCTTTTGAATATTACTGCGTCAATGCCAACTTCAATGTTACATCTAAATCTCTTCTTATATCTGATTTCTTCCGTCAGCTGTGGATATCATACAGAAAACCAGCGAGATTTCAACTGCCGCTGTTGAAACCTTTGGCAAGAGAGGGAAGAGCACCATCGAGCACTGCAAAGTGGGAATTCACTTTGAACTTTGATTTGGGTGTGAGTGGTTGTGCCTTGACCTTCATTCACATCGTCAGGCTGCCACCCAAAATGCTGTCAGAAAGGCTGTTCCTTCAGCAAGCCCGCGAGGGTCAGCCTCGGGTCTGCGTTCCTGCAGAATGTCTTCAGTCGGCTGCGGCTTTTAAACAGCGGGATGCGCGTTTCAGTCCTTTTCCCGGGGCTGCTGGCTAGCAAGGTTAAATTCAGGAGGATACTATGCCCAGATGAGCGAAGCCACCGTTCTTCAGGTGGAGATGCCAACTGCAGGAGCCGCCAGATGACCCAGCGAAGGCCGCACCACCGGACGTGTCAAAGAGCACCGCCACGAAGCGCCGAGGGGTCGCCGCCGC